TACGATCGATCTCATTTGCTCAAGCCTTAGTTTCCCTGCTTTATATCTCGAGTACACATATGACATATAAATCCCTCATCTGTTGCAGAGTAACAAAACAGATTTGGTCAAGCATGTCCGTCTGTTGAATTGCACGATCCGTCCATTAAAAATCACAAACTGTTGCGATAATCCATTTACTCATTTAAATAAAACTCAAGCCTTTCACCGGTTTATCCCGAGTACATATTTCAGCTAGTGTCTAGGTAAATAGTAAAGCAGATTTGATCAATACGGTTTCCACTTTTGATATATTAGCCACTGCCAGAACTATTATTTTTATTTACAGTGTTCCACAACAATTTTTGCATATACAATTCGGTATAGCTCATTTCCAATTCTAAGCAATTTTTGCCGAGAAAACACCTTACCTTCAAAACGGATCTGACTAAAGACCATATATGAATAAAAACCTGCTCAGCATGCGATACATCTGGGGGCAGGGCGCCTTAACGCAATCAGCCCGGCAATGGTGGCATTCAAACCGTCAGTGCCTAAGCGGACATGCGTGGACAGGAGAGCCGATCCCTCCATCCCTGCGCCCTATCCCTCGCTGCTGCTATCCGCTAACACTTCCTCCTCTGACGCAAGGATGCAGCAGAGCCAATCCTCTCCAAGGTAAAAGTACTCATCGATCTGTCCTATGTGATGTTCTTGCTTGTGTGATGTTGATCTGTTTTTACATGTTCGTCTAGCTTCTGATTTTGTTAAACCACTGCTTTCAATTAATAATAATCATAGTTGTGAATTGAATGTGTTCTACTAGTGTTAGTTTAAGATTGCAACAGCTGGTCTAACCATAGCTGGGATCTGGAATTTATTCAGTGCATAGCTTGTGTTAGTTTTGAACTGGAATTTACCTTCTCAATGGGCTATATTCCGATCTGAACCTGACAACCTGATTAGGATCTGTTGACTTGATTCTTATGTCTGGTTACCAGGACGTAATTTTCTTAGATTTAAACATATCAAGGGTGGTGTTACAGCACGTGATACTTGTAGGTCCAGTAGAGTTTTATTGCACGTAACATCTCAAGTCATTTATGTGGCATTTAGTTTTCATTTGTTCTATGTGATGTGCACGTGTTGAAACATCAAAGTAGTCATGCTATGCAGTTGCATCACCTTCATGTCATCATGTGACACTGCCAATGATTTGTACATGTGCTATTTGATTGGATAGCTACCATGGTTCTCAACATGCCACATTTGAAATTAATGTCTCACTGTTTGAGTGACATAAGGCAGGGGACATATGCTTCAGATGCTCAACTTTTTATATCTGACATTCTCATATGTTTGATGACTTATTGTTAAAGAAAAATGAGCAACGGTAATCCATCTATTCTCTCTTAGATTGACTTCAAAATCTTAGAGCAATCAGGCTAAGTTTCCATCTAGTGTCACAATGCTTAATGTAATATTCTTGTGCAATCGTAAACCTATAAAGTAAATTGTATGTTTTTACGGTGGCTTAATATGTCCATCCAAAGCCAATGGGAATGAAATGTTTGGTTACACTTTTATGAGCTGCAGAAGCTTGTGACTATGTATACGTTTATGAGATGCATGTATGAGTATTACCAATAGTATTAATTTTGTATATTCCAACAACATTTATGGAACCTTTGTTTTCTTTCCTGCTTTTCTTTGCGCGGGGGATTTTTGGTCAATAGGGATTTGTATCCCTGTGCTTTCCAAACCGAGTCCGGTATTTTTTTTCTCCAATGGGGACCCTGTCATCGGGGGTGGACAGGGATGTCAAGTTCAGGGGAGAAATCCCCTTTGGAATTTAAATCCACATGCTTTTTATAATCCACCATCCAAAGCGGTGTTTGTTGAAGCTGGATTGATGAGAATTGAATTAAGGAGAAAACCACTTGCTTGTCAGGGAAATCACTCCCTGCTTATTCTGAATCTTCTTCAAGTTCTAATAATAGGAGTTACAGAGTACGTGATTTTTCCAATGCAGAAGACGGACGTGGAGTGCCACTTTAGGTTTCAATCCCCAAAGAAAAGGAAACATCATCTGGCATCATCAGCATTGTGCTACCCTTTAGCTTCTGTGTCGACACTTCTCCTGAGGAAATATCTCAACATGGCGCTACACTTTCCTATGAAACCATGCTCACTTTTCCTGACGTCTCTCAAACCCATCCTTATACATATACTGGCCTTGCTGTACGCTGCATACATGTGTGGTAACCCTGAGGATCATATTGCGTGGAATATATAGCACTGAGTCACTGACCCAGATGGAAGTGATATCAGAGTCTAAACGTAGAATATATAGCACTGACCCTGGGGATACTTGGTGAATATATAGCACTGGAGTTGAAATGCTTGTTGGTTAGTGCTGTGCCCTTGACTACATTTGCAGTTTGGCGCTTCGTGAGCCAAATTAGCTAGACAAATTTCTTGGGAGAGGTAGAGGTTCACTTGCTGTGTCTGTGTTTCATTGTGTTGTTTCCAAGAGTGCCAGATAAGTTTTAGAGGTTTAGATCAATGAATGAATAACCTCTCTCAATGCACAGTTTCATAGGCAGACCACGGCATTAAAATGTTGTATAAGTGTTGTGATCAGATATGAATTATGTAACCACACATGATTTCGACTTGCTAAAATTTACTTCTAGGAACAATCAATCAGTCATAGGCTTCACCATTTGGCAATGATCCTTTGAAACATGAGTTGCTTACAACGCAGTTGAAACCTGAACAGAAATCAAACTTTCAAACTCTGACTAGCTCTGTTGGACAGACAATCAAAACAATATGTACAACAATTTATTCGGCACGGATCTAGGTCACCCATCCTACAGCACCATACTATAAAGAATAGAATAAATATCTGAGATGCACCAGCAATACATTCACTCTAGAAAGATGAAAATTTCACAGAAGAAAGTAACAAGCATTCACACTCTAGAAAGATGAAAATTTCACATGGTAGCCATTGTTGGCCCACTGGATCACCGGCACGCGTGAGTCGACCACTCACCAGCGTTGCCGACCACAATTATCGTTGTCCGACCACACACTATGGCTAAAGATAGAAGAAGGGAGGGAGAACAGAGCACACACACAGCACAAGCTCCAGCGTTGGCCGGAGTTCTGCAGAGGAGATGGCACAACTGAACTCGCTCTCTTTACTGAGTTGCAGTGGCAAATTATATATACAACTCTACCCATCTAATCCTAGTACAGCTGCCATGCTGCTACAGTGACTAGATGTGACAGCAGGACTGACTTTGGCGCCTGCCTCTGCTGTGGCTACAGTTTGGCAGGTGAGTCGTTCAGCGCCTGTCCCTACAGCCACTACCGGAAACGTCAAATTTACGGAGTGTTTTTATGTTTGCCGAGTGTATTATCTTGGGCACTCGCCAAACAAGATCTTTGCCGAGTGCTACGCTGAAAACACTCGGCAAAAAAAATACTCGATAAACAGGAGGTTTGCCGAGTGTAAAAAAACACTCGATAAAGATGGGGTTTGCCGAGTGTTTTGTTTTTTTTACACTCGGCAAACCTGTAAAAATCTTTTTTCTAGAAAAGAAGGAGAAGAAAAAAAATGAAAAAAAAACTTTGCCGAGTGCCCAGATCCAGGACACTCGGCAAAGAAAGAAAAATCTTTCTTCTAGGAAAGAAGGAGAAGAAAAAAATTAAAAAAAAACTTTGCCGAGTGGCCAGATCTAGAATACTCGGCAAAGTAAAAAAAATATTTTTTCTGGGAAAGAAGGAGAAAAAAAAAATATAAACTTTGCCGAGTGCCCAGATCCAGGACACTCGGCAAAGGAAAAAAAATGTTTTTTAACCGCCGACGCGCCTTATCTTCTCCCCGCACGCCTCTCTCCCCTCCCCTCCACAGATCCACCAGCAGCTCCTCCCTTTCTCCCTCTCCCCGGGCGCGCGTGAGCGCTACGCCGCCGCCGCCGCCGCTGGCGCGTCCACCGCTACCTGAGTCCGCCCCCTCCTCGCCTTCCCTCTCCCCCCTCCCTAGATCCACCTCCAGCCCCTCCCTTTCCCCACCTCCGCGGGCTCGCACGGGCACCGATGCGTCGCCGCCACCGCCGTCCGCGCGGTCGCCGCCGGCGGCTGCCTCAATAGCACCGGATCCCGCCGCTGACTCCGCCGAGGTAGGCCCCGTGGGCCCCTGCTCGGACGCCGGCTACCTGGCCAGCGAGCCCTCCATGGCCCCCCTGCTCCGCCGGGGCCGGATGCCGGCGCAGCCATGGCCAGCGTCTCGCCAGATACGCAACAGGCGCCATCCACGGTGGGGACGGCCGGATCTAGCGCGGGAAGCCCCCGTCCCCCATCATCGGCGACTCGGGAGGTGCCCATGGAGGCCTCCTCGCTGCCGTCAACCGCGGCTGGGCCTGAGACGGTGAACTCGGTGCCCAGCTCGTCACGGCGGCACCCTCCGTTGCTTCGTCCTTGCTCTCCCCCCTCGCCTCGCCCTTCCAACCAGGCGGTGGTGGTGGCCCGTGCGGCTGCCAAGCGTTGGAGCGGCCGGTGGTGGTGGCCGGCCGGTGGTGGCGGCCTGTGCTTGTTTTTTTTATTTTCCTTAAAAATGTTTGCCGAGTGTTTTTTTTTGCACTCGGCGAAGTATTTGCCTAGTGCGCGACAAAAAACACTCGGCAAAGAATGTTTGCCGACAAATCTTTGCCGTGTGTTGGTTGCCGAGTGCAACAGTCGGCAAAGAGGTTACCAAGTGTTTTTCTGACTTTGCCGAGTGCCCCTGGCATTCAGCAAACCTCCCGTATCCCGTAGTGAGCGACTACAGTACCACAGCAGGGAGCCTTTTCGACGCCGCCTTCCCCTGCCGTGCTTTCACACTAGGGAGCAGTTGATTACTTATCAGCCATCAGCCTTTTTTGCTTGCTCTCTCATTAGAAAACAGAAACAGGAACCGGAGGAGCAGCAAAAAGCATCTTTTTTCTGGAGAGGCATCATAAAGAAGAAGGTCAGGAAGGGATTTCATGATGAGCGGCTAGGATGTCTTGGTGGAGGTGCTCAAGTGCATGGCAACTTCCGCCGCACGACGGCAAGGACATGTATGGTATCGCCATGGCTTTGACCTCGGGCTTGGCCGTGGTGCCACCCACCTCTTCCTCTCCCCTGCCATGCCACACCACAAGAGTGGCAGTAGCGGGCTCCTGATCTCCGTGGCCTACCCCCACAGTACCTACACAGCCGCTGCCCTTAGGGCCATGGCACGGCCACTACCACCACCAGTACGATGGTGACGAGCGGGGAAGAACTGGTCGCGAGTCGTATCAGATCAGGAAAAGGCAATAGGGATGAAACAAAAGCGCCTCAATAATGTAGGTTTCACTGGATTTCCAAGACATTGGAAACGGTGAACGCATGTTTATCCCTGATGAAACTTTAATCATTTCTTTCCTCGTTAAAATAGTGCCATGTCACCATATGTATTTACTAACGTGGCACCAAATTTAATGCAAATGAAACTGTCATGAACTATTCAGAATTAAGTCTGACCAGCACCCGCCATAGGCCACCTGCCCTTCCGCCCACCGCCCGAGGAAGACCGCCCTCCCACCCGCCAGGTAGGCCTGCACTACCGGTGGCCCACTGACCCAGCAGTTGGTGCCCAGGGTGATAGCCGCCGACCCACCCGGCGACCAGGGCCTGCCACTCCGGCCGCCCACTGGATTGGGCTCGCGGAATGTGCCCTGCCAGACTGGGCCCGAGGCACCACCCGCCCCATCTACACAGCACCTTGGTCCGCCCCCCTGCGATTCTTCTTCATCAACACAGTAGTGAGGTTCTTCTTCATGCATGAGATCCCCAAAGGGTAAGACTTGAACCCTGCAGTGCTTCTTCCTCTATTGCTTATGCAAATATGCAGTGCATATTGTTGGTCATACACATAGCTAGCAATTCATCTTGAACCACTACATAATTGTTTGTGCCCTGCAGGACATCAAGTTTACTGTTCACGCACACCCCAAATTGTCCAAGGTCCTTGATCAACTCTTCAAAGGAGCCAAGGTATACATCGATACCCTCATTTCTTGTTGCTATCACATTTCTTGGTCCACAAATCTGAACAAGTGCAAGCAACGCTCTCTTGTTCCAACAGGTTGATTCCGGTGTTTCTCATTCTGTAAATGAACCAGTTGCAGCCTAGAGAAGGGTGGGATAGCAAGCCAAGGCAATCACAGATGAGTTGAATGAGCTGCACACATTCAGGTCAAAAATGAGATGAATGAGTCATTGTCTCAAGCTACACAAAAGGTACCAGAATCTAATGGTCCGGAATGGGCTGAAGTGCCAGAACTTGGAGTTACAGTTACAGCAGCTGGATAGCCGACAGAGCCAAGGAGATACTAAGGACTAAACCGACATCTTGAGAGTTCCCTCATGGACACGATTACAGGGAAGATCATGGAGAAGATAGCAATGAACTTGGTGAAGAACAAACCTTCGCTCTGCAAAGCTTGCAGCATCCTCAACCGCGACAGAACGCAGGTGTCTAAGGTTGATCTTGTTGCCAATGAGCATTACAACGATGTTCGAGTCAGCATGGTCCCGGAGCTCCTTCAGCCACCTCTTCACATTCTCAAATTTCATTACCTTAGTAACATCACAGACTAGCAATGCCCCGACAGCTCCTCGGTAGTAAGCACTTGTAATTGCTCGATACCTCTCCATCCCAGCAGTGTCCCAGAATTGAGCTTTTATAATCTTATTCTCCACCTGAATCAGAGAAATCAAACTTTGTAACTTATTTCTTCAGTACAAGTGGGAAAAGAACAAGTATTGTGTTCATAGAAGGCAAAATTAATTCATAAGCAAATGCAACGTGCATCACATATAAGTGAAAAATTATCAATTTATTTGAATAATAAAATTATTTAGGAACTTTCTTCAGATTATTTGTTTCAAATTCGGTTACATACTGAGCTTCCATGGTGACTGGACCAAATCATTGCCCAGTCCAAATGGATGGGCCAATCCTGATCCATCCGTGTAGAATCGGCTGGGATTTATTCCAGCTAAGGCCCCTTCGGTTAGTCAGGAAAGAAGCCAGGAACTATTTCTGCTCATCAACATTACACAAATTTGTGAATCACGGATTGATTCACAAATTTGTGTAATGTTGATGAGCAGGAATAGTTCATGGCTTCTTTCCTGACTAACCGGGCACTAAACTGGCCCTAATGTCATGTTATGTCCTAGGTTTTCTTCTCATCCATATATAGCTGAATATACTAATATCGTGCGTTATATTTTTCGAAAGATCCAGACTTGCTGGCATATATTGATAACTAGAAGAGCTGTTTACAGTGCCTAGATGTACAGATGGCCTGAATCAGTAAGAGTCTGGTCAGGTGGAGCATCCTGCGATGACTCCCAGCAATTTGGCCCAAAGGAAAAAGAATCTAACTACTTATGCAAATATAGGCCGCACCGCCGCCAGGACGTCGCCAAGTCCATGAGGGTGCGACAGCTCTTTGGGAGCTGCACCTCGGACAGGGCGGCGCGTGTGCGGACTCGCTCGCCACCAGCCTGCCGCCATGCTGGGATGGAGGACATGGAGCCCATGGACCGCGGCAGGCCCATCAGCCGCTCGCCGGCAACGGGACCTCGGGGGAGAGACTACAACATCCCCCAAGCTGCAGAGGAGTGGGAACGTCGCCGGCGGCTAGCCTCTGTTTCTACCCGGACAACGGCGGCGATGGCGCCCGCTCCCCTGTGTACCGGGCTGTATCCTGCCTATGGGCCGGAAACGGGGGGCAGGCTGTGGAGACGGCCCAGGAGGTGGAGGCCCTTTTCGGACCTGGGATCCAGCGTGAAGACCTGGCGGGCTAAGATGCACTGGAGATGGAGCAGCGGGACGCGGCCCACGTCGACGGGCCCGCTCCGGCCAGGACAGAGGAGGACATTGCCTCCCTCGTCAACAGGATGGACATCGACATCCACCTGACGGCGGGGAGCGACTCAGGGCATGCTTCCGGCGTCGAGGATTCAGCAAGTCTGCACCAGCAAGGTCGCGTGGTGGAGGCCTCCCATGGTGTGGGGGGGCAGCCATGTAGCGAGGTCTGCAGGGGAATGTTCCGGGCCATCCCTGAACCGGCGCTCCCTGCGCCACCCGCGTCTCCACCACGCCCGACGGCCTCCCGTGCAGCGAGGCCGAGGAAGACTCTGGAAGCCAAGCGCTCAAGCATGCGCCTGGCGGCCAGGCCCTCATCGGTCCCTGTCTCGCAGCGTGCTCAGCGCAAGCTGATGCGGGAGCTCGATTTCCTCAGTGCTCGGTGGTGACAGAGTACGTGGACATGTATGAGGGCGACCTTCCAGAGCAGGCGGTCAAGGCCATTAGAGCTGCGACGCGTATGGTGAACAATAAGCTGGCCAAGGTGCTTGCAGCAATGGCAGCGGAGGGTGATGCAGCTGAGATGGAGATGTAGTGTCTGTTCGCTTGCTGCAGTGATGAAGTTTGCAGGTTCAGTTATCAATGTGCGTTAGGTCAATGCCAGCGCCGACCGGTTAAGTTTGGTTTGAATCTCTAGTGTGATGTAGTGCTGTTGAAGAAGCAGTGTAGGCTGTTTGGTGATGGTAGTCTGTTTGGGGATTGTGTGTTCGGCTGGCTGTCATCATATTTGTTGGCACTGAGATTGTGGGCTTGCTGGCTATGGGTCTCTCTTGGTTGTTATGTGGTTGCTGGAATGGATGAAAACAATCTGAAATTTTTCAACTGGAATGTCCTAGGCCTGAATAGTGGAGCAAGAAGGGAGACTGTGAAGCTAATGATACAACAGGCAAAGCCACTGAGCATATGTTTGCAGGAAACGAAACTGAATGTGATTGATGTCGACACTTCTCCTGTGGAGGGAACGACACTGACTATAGCTCTATCCTTTCCTATGAAGCCATGCCCACTGTTCCTGACGTCTCTCAAACCCATCCACATACTGGCCTTGTTGTATGCTACATACATATGTGTACTAACCCTGAGGATGCTAGGTAGAATATATAGCACTGGCCCTGAGGATGGAAGTGATATCAGAGTCTAAGCGAATTTATAACTGGAGTTGAAACGCTTGTTGGTTGGTGGTGCTCCCTTGGCTACATTTGCAGTACTCTGTTTGGCGCTTCGTGAGCCAAAGCAGAAAATTTTCTTGGGACAGAGGGAGAGTTCCATTGTGATATGTTTCGTAGGGTTATTTCTGAAGTGCCAAATAACTTTTACAGGTTTAGATCAATGAATGAATAATCTTTCTCAGTGCACAGTTTTATAGGCAAGCCACAACATGAAATTGCTGCATAGTGTTGTGATCAAATACGATATATGAATACTACAGTTGTATCCAGATGAGAGGCACCAAAAATACGATATATGAATTATGTAACCGCACATGATTCAGAAAAGTCATAGACTTCACCATTTGGCAATGATCCTTTGAAACATTAGTTGTGTACGGCTAAACTAAAATATGAACAGGAAATGAACTTTCAAACTCTGAATCACTCTATTAGATAGACAATCGAAACAATGTATACACAATTTATTCGGCATGGATCTAGGTCACCATCCTGCAGCACCAAGTACTAGAAAGAATAGTAGAAATATCTGAGATGCAGCAACAATACATTCACTCTAGAAAGATGAAAATTTCACACAAGAAAGCATCCTTCACATGGTAGCCATCGGCCTTTTTTTGTTTGCTCTGTCATCATACAGAAACAGCAGTAGCAGCAATAAGCATCTTCTATCTGGATAGGGATCACAAAGAAGAGGAAGATCAGAAGCGATTTCATGAACAGCGGCAAGGAGGGATTGATGGAGGTGCTCAAGTGCAAGGCAACTTCCACTTCATGGAGGTGGATGACGACAACGACATGTATGGCACCGCCATGGCTTTGACCTCGGGCTTGGCCATGGTGCCAGCCAATGCTTCCTCTCCCCTGCCATGCCGCACCGCAACAGTGGTAGTAGCAGGCTCCTAATCTCCCATGGACGAACAATGGCACTTATTCGGCTGCAGCTGCAGGGGCCATGGCACGGCCACTACCACCACAAGTACGACTGGGAGGAGAGGGGAAGAGCTGGTCACGAGAGCGCCTCAATGATGGATTTACCGGATTCCAAGACATTGGAAACGGTACACGCAAGCTTATCCTGATGAAACTTTAATCATCGGTCCTCATTAAAATAGTGCCATGTCACCATATTTACTATCATTTAATACAAATGGCCTGCATCACTTAATAACTAAAAATCGGTTGGTTAGTTTCCTCAAAAGAGTCCACTGGAGCACAACTCTCCTCAAAAAGGTATTTAAGGTCAATCCCATCTCTCTCTAAGCTTAGGTGACATATTTCTGTAGTTGGCTCCAAACTTTATGCCTGTTCTACCATCTGAACCAAAAGTTGCTTATGCTTTCCATATATAAATTCCTCGTGGCACTCTTTCTGTTTGTCCAGGGAAATTGTACTCTTTTTCTTTATGCCATTGGCAAAAAAGAGGGAAAGCTTTTGAAAACCGAAGGACATCATCTGTTATCAAAGGCACATCGATGAGCTTTGGACAGCTGACGGCTTCTCTGACCCTGCATTTCACTCCTGCTAAGGAAACGACGGACGTGTCTGTCCTACATAGCTTTCCATTGACTCGATGTCTAGGGCTCCAGACATCTCCTAAGCCTATCTACTATTGGCCTTGTTGCATTCTCCTACATACGTGCACTCTTGGAGATTAGGTACCCTTGCATATATACCGCCCTCTTGCTGACGAGTGACGACCCTGATTTATGGACAAGCTCTTTACGTCATTCATATGCAAAGTATATATCACATTGCATATATATAATTGGAGTTATTAGAGTAGTTGGGTTCGTGATGTGCTCTTGGCAACATTTATAGTTTGTGCTACATAAACTGAATGAGTGAGAGCAATGTAAATACGATTACCGCTTTTCAAAGACTCAAGCCTTGGAGTTTCATTTTATAGGGGATCCGACTGGTCACTTTCCCAATTACTGCTTACACCTATAGCACGACTACTGCTCTTTTGGGTAATTAAGAGGGCGATTCAGTCATTTACATTTGAACATTACGATGTCCTTCACTCTGCAACCTCAATGCTTTGGGCTGCATCGACCTCTGCTAGCGAAGTGCTGCTTCCTTTCACTTCATTCGTTTCATGAAAAGGCGTTCTGCAGCAAAAACATCAGCAGTGGAGATCGATCTCATGAACATGTGGCTCAAGCCAAGCCTAACCCCAACAACACATACAACTGAAAACTGGACGGACTTTCTCGCCTGATTCATGGACAGCGTTTGGTGTGGTTGTCCCGCGTTTTTGTGAATCGAACGCGAGACACAGAAACAAACGTGGCCTCTGTCCTATGGACGCTTCCTGGCTTTCGTGCTGCCAACGATATTGTCCAAGGCCTTTTGAGTGGAGCAAATTAGTTATTGTACCTAAGATATAGATGTGTTTAGTGTTCCGTGAGCCGGAAGTCGTTGGCGTCACTCCCCAGAGAAAAGAGCAAAATGAAGATAATCATCAGGCACCAATGCCACACGGATGACGTTTGCATATAGATGGATTTTGACATAAACATAGACTCAGCCATCCTTCGTTTAGAGTCGATTGGATCTGTTGACAGAAACATTATAATCTCTAGTCGCTTGAGAAAAGAGTTATGTCATTTAAAATGATCTTGTCATTTCAATTGTTTAAACGATAGTCGAGTATGCAACGCATTGATATGTCTATTTTTAACTAATTCATCGAATATCTTATCACACCTGGATATATCAAAGATAAATTTAGTACCTTCGTGTCTTTTTGTGAATCGGATTAAGAGAAGCACAAATAGATGGCTTGGCTGTAGATGACCTAGCTACGGATAACCAAAGATTTTGTTGAGAATTAATTTCTTTAGGTATCTGAGTGACGAATATGGAAACATCAACCCGATATTCTCCAGGTGCCTAGTCAATTGAATTATATTATTTGGACAACAATCTATTGGCCATTTTAAGAACTCGCTAAATCAAATCAATCATTATGCAGTGGGTGGGAGTAGCGCTCCTCCGAATCCGAAGCCACAACGTGTACCCGCAAAAATGCATGCACGTCGAGGATCCTGGGGCTAGAAATAGATGAGGATCCACTAGAACTGCGCTGTACGGCTGTACCTAATACGTGTTCGGTGGTCGGCCAGCCAGTTCTCGTTGCAGTCACCGCCCAAAGAAAATGAAAAGACCATTGGCATCAGCGGCACCTCCAGGATGTCTGCGCAATTGGCCTCTGAATTCTATGCGTGCCGTGATTATGTCCTATGAGATGCCGTATCCACTCCTCCAGATGTCTCCCAAGCCAATCCACCTATTGCTCTTGCTGTATAGAGTACTTCACATATCATACCCGCACTAACCCTGAGGATACTGCACAGACAAGGCCCCGTTCGCGTGCCCTTAAACCCGGCTTGATCCGCTTATTTTTTCATCCGGAACAGTATTTTTCTCTCACAAATTCCTCCAGTATTCCTCCAAACCATCCAGATTCCTCCAAAATTCAGACAAGCGAACAGAGGGGACGATATATATGCATTGAGGTCTTATTTACAAATACTTGTTACTGTTAGAATGGTTGTTGGTTGCTGCCTTCCTGGTGCACTCTTGGCTACATTTGCACTACTCTGTTTGGCGCTTCGTGAGCTTAATTGTGGTGCGATTACCCGTTCTGCAATTTTCTTTAAAGAGAACACAAGTCAGATTAGATGCATGTTGACACCGTCTGCATCAGGCTCTGCCCTTGACATAGCAAAGTATCAATTTCATTATGAAATGTCATGAACTGCCTAGGATAAATTCCAGTGTGCTTAGTTGATGATGTTAAATACAGTAAATAGGAAGGACCAGATAAACTATATGTAAAATGGGGAGCATCTGATACTACGGATTCTGGCACATTTGCTGAGGCCTGGGGGCATAAACAATGGAATAATGCATCTATGCTTGGGATCAACCGGGAATCAACAAGTTGACACAAGTCATGAGAGCTTCCTCAGTCATAGAAGTAGAATAATTAACCCCAATAAAAATTATAACTGCATATCATACAAAGACTACCCTGCTACTAGTTAAGAGCAAGGAGCTTTGCTGGGGGGTGATACATAGCCTTCTTCTCTGCTCGAGAGCAATACAACTTTTCTCCCACAGCACCTCTCGACAGAACATGACTATGCAGGTCAAGTATAGTCAGTGTCTGGAGTCTGACATTTTTAAAATCTACACTTATTGTTCACACAAAGGATAAATATTTTGACAAAGTATGTCTCGAAAGAGAACCTTTTCGACAAATTGTTCTTTAGATGATCCTGGTGACCAGCTCTAAGAAGAGCAGCACCTTGACGTAAGAGCACTAGAATTTGTGGCTGACACTTGAATGGATTGTCCCTCTCTGAGGTTACCAGACCCTGAACCAGACTCCTCAGAAGACAGGGGCTTCTTGCTGATTATTCTGTAGATCTCAGCTAGAACAGTCTGGAAAGCCTTCTCGACGTTTGTTGCATCAAGTGCAGAGGTCTCGATGAAGAACAAACCTTCGCTCTCTGCAAAGCTTGCAGCATCCTCAACCGCGACAGAACGCAGGTGTCTAAGGTCGATCTTGTTGCCAATGAGCATGACAACGATGTTCGAGTCAGCATGGTCCCGGAGCTCCTTCAGCCACCTCTTCACATTCTCAAATGTCATTACCTTAGTGACATCATAGACTAGCAATGCCCCTACAGCTCCACGATAGTAAGCACTTGTAATTGCTCGATACCTCTCCTGCCCAGCAGTGTCCCAAATTTGAGCTTTTATAGTCTTATTGTCCACCTGAATCAGAGAAATCAAATTTTGTAACTTATTTCTTCAGTAGCAGTGGGAAAAGAAGTATTATTGTGTTAATAAAAAGCAAAATTAATTCATAAGTAAATGCAATGTGCATCACATATAAGTGAAATAATGATCAATTTATCTGAATAATAAAATTAAATAGGAACTTTCTTCAGATCATTTGTTTCAAATGCTGTTACATACTGAACTTCCATGGTGACTGGATCAAATCCTTGCCCAGTCCAAATGGATCCGCCAGCAATTTAGATCAATCCTGACCCACCCGTGTGGAATGGGCTGGGATTTAGTCCAGCCAAACTGGCTCTAATGTCATGTTATGTCACAGGTTTTCTTCTCATCCATAGCTGAATATACTAATACCGTACATAAGAAGTATAAGCAGTTGCATTCATGTTACATACTAAGATTCTGGTAGATCCACATTCAATATCATATTTGGCCTCTGATTTTTGTATATTCCTAGTTTAAGGTACTAATATGGTATTAAAAAATAAATGGAAGCAGTTTTAGACATTGCATTCATTAATCTTAAGCAGATGCATGAAATTTACTAAAATACAGGTTTATATTAACAACATAGCCAAGCAGTAAATCATATTTCATCATGGCAATCTGCCAAATGGTAGTAAAACCTTTATAGCATTTCATAGTTGGAAAAACATCATATAGTGCATTGATAAACTAACTATTTGTCCATGTATCGTTGATCTGATTACTAACTGAATCTATTCCAACAAACAACGAGAACTTTCAGTTCCAATATCGCTACAAAACCTTCAAACACAATAACCAATCAGAAAAGAATTTCTTTTCTTCATTCCCTGTAACGATTCATGTCCCTCAAGGTCTGGGATTGAGGAACCAGAACAAATGTCTGTACATTTCACTAGGGTGCGCAAGCAAGATTATCACAAAGCAGAGTATTGCAGTATCCTAATTAATGTGAAACAAAAAAAATGAAAATTAATGTGAAACAAAAAAAAATGAATTCAAAATTCCATCCCCCAGGCAAACATAATAAACAATTGTGATATAACATTTTCCAACAAATTACACCTCTTTATTGCTTAGAGTGATGCTGGAGAGAGGAGTGG